CAGATCTGCTTGCTATCGACCATCTATTTGTTATCAATTTCACTAACATATATGGAATCATTTTGGCCGCAATAGTCTCATGTATGTGCCAACAGAGTTGTTGCGTTTTTTGTCTCTATGTGCTAACAGTTTTGGCAGCACCAAAACATGTTTCCGTACTGTAGCGTTTCTGCACACAGTTTCTGTTGCCAAGGTTTGCGTAGTCAGAAATTGTTTGCTGGGAATATTCCATCTTTAGATGTAATTGTGCATTCGGAAGTACCGTGTAATGTAATCCGATTATAGATGTATTTTTTCACAGACGTTTCTTAGGAAATATTGTAATATACAGGGTGTCTACTAAAGAGATTCTGCCAATGCTCGTGACTGTATACAACGCAGTAAATTGAATAGAAAAGTTCTTTACCATTTTGCAATTTTCGCAATATTTATTGAAATATTACTTTAAAAAATTGGCAAATTAACGCAAATTTTGCCCGGTTAAACCGTAGGATGTAAATTCTAGGCGTGACAGCGACGAGTGTCACACGGTAACAAAATAATTAACAACAAACATTTTTTTCTTCTTGTTTCTTTGTCTGACACTCGTCGCTGACACGAGTCTAGAATACTTACTCGTCTCATTCGGCAATTTTTTTTTTAATTAATATTTCAATAAATATTGCAAAAGTTCCTTTCTTAGGTAAGAATATGTTTTGCGAATGTAGTATCTAAGAACTTCTTTTTCGATCGGTCACGCCGATAAAACGCAACACCTCGGAATCGAGGTGAAATTATATCTTTTCGTAATTGAATAATCAATGTAAAATATGGTACACGAAAAAGTAATATTCTCAACAATGTGGAAAAAAAAGAGAACTAAAAATGTAATAAATGTCAAATTTTAATATAAAAGAATGTAAAAAATAAGCGTGTTATGTTTAACGACCGAGGTTTTTGTTAGCAACCGGCGAGTGTTTTTGACGCTCAAGAAACCGCTCAACCCTTGCGAAGGAAATTTCTAAAGCGCATAGTGGAGAATGTGTGCGCGCAAAGGAAAACTCTACTCTTAGCGCAGCACGTAGCTTCAGATCTCGCCGATCTCTCGAAAGTGACGAACGTGTTGTCGAGTTGTGCGCGATTCGAAAATTTTCTTTTTTCGTTGTATCAAGTTTGTATGCGATTACAAGTTCAAAAGTGAAGTTCTTTCTTCGTCATTTACTGTAATTTTGTTATTGTAAATCTACCGCGTGTACCGCAATTAAATATTTTGCAAATATAACTTATCAGTCTTCCGCTTCGTTATTTCTTTATTTTTTAAAATAATTGTTTTAATACATAAAGCGATATACCGGTTCACCTCTAACGACAATCATTTCTTTCTTACATATTGTATGTAACATATATTGGAATATATACTTTTTACTTCAATCTTATCGGAAGAATTTTATAACACGGTCTTAATATTTTACAAATTAGAGTTTCGTTAATACTCTCTATTAAGAGAATTGCAGTAAATCTACAACTTTTTATCCATTTCCAAATTCTTCTTTTTGACAGTTCGAGAGCAAACGGTACCATTGTGTCATCTTAACTGTCATTGAGAAGAATTACGTAAAATACTTTATTTTACAAAAAACCAAATCTTGAAACAGCAAGGTATAGTTTGATTTACGTGACATTTTTCATCGCGAAGTCACATCTAATATTATCAAAAATAACTTTTATAAAAAATACGAAAGAAATTCACTTAATTACGCATGGGAAAGTAATCAAGTACCAAAGAAAACACAATCCGGACAATATTTCTGTGGACTTTTGGTGACGCTGATTGTATTCCTGACGGCGGTGTTTGCGGTACCGGAGGAGCCAGGTTCGGGTAAGAAAATGCTGGCATGAAGGTATATTTTTGTTTTTAATATTATATATATTACATGTAAAAGTTATTAAAGTATAATATATCTAATTTTTTTCACAAATTCTGAGTCTAACGATAGAATTCTTTTATGTTACAGAGTGGTATCGTCGCAGTAAGTGGCCAGCGCACGTGAGTTAACCGTTAAGGTAGGTGATGGGTATTTTTTCAAATCAGTGCAATACGTAGTTATTGCTTATTTATTTTGAAACGTCAAGAAAAAACAAATATTTGAAAAATAAAATTATAGTTTTCGCCCTTTACTTATATATTTAAATCTAATTTACTTATAGAAAATAAAGCATAACAGAGAATAATATAGAATACTTTTCTATACATTTATCAAAAACGTATAGTAAGATATATACATTGCTAAACGATATACTGATTACTCTTTTCAAAACCATTGAGATTGCTTCATATAATGATTATTTTATACCAGTTTTTTCTCGATGATTTCTCACATTCAACAAATTGCGAACGTTTAGTTCGCCTTGCGTCGACATCGACGCACTGGATCTCGCAAGCGTTATTATTACCGCGATTTTTAGTTTCGATTATTGAAATACACACGATTATTAAGTATTAGTAATAGAATCTATCTTGCGAAAGAAATTAAAATGGACGGAAAGTACGAAAAGTTTTACGTAGAAATTTTGATTATATGTTTTATTTCAAACACAGTGAAAAATGAGGTATGTTCTCAGGCCCTCGTTGGTAATACCAATATATTATAATTTTAATAGGCAATAAATAGACCGTTGCAGGATGATGTGCAGAATTAATGTATACTATTTAAATTGTGAGACGTTTCGACTTTATTTTCAGTTCTTTTATAAAGAATTTTCAGTTTTATAGAGAAATTTTCAGTTCTCGTATAAAGAATTGTTTCCCGGAAAAATAATGATTAAGAATTAAATTGTTTATTATCTTTTATATCTCTACAATAAAACTTTTCAGAAGAATACATTATTTTGCATGAGTAGGAATCGCACTGATTTTTCACTGTATCGTCACTCTCTACATATAATCTCGTAACTCCAAAACGCAAATTTTAGAGGAGAGCAGTTTGTAAATTTAAAGGTTCATATAGTTTCCCTAGTTAAGAAATTTTTCGGTTTTAAATTTTTACCTTATTTATAAATATTTGGTAACCATAAAGAACATGACTTTCTAAGTGTCACTATGCAATAAACTGAAAATTCGGTATGTGACATTTATGTAATTATACGTAGGGAGTGACGATTCTTTTTTGATGAAATTTCCATATATTTGCCTTTACGAAAAAGACCTACTGACAGTAATATATTGCAGTAGTGGTACGAAAACGATTACTGGCATTCTGTGTAATTGTCAGTAATATTCTCAGTGATTCGTGTAATACCTAATAATATTCTTATGTGATTGTCAGTAATATTTATATTACTAAATTTATTTATATGTAATCGGCATTAGTCCTTTTTCGTAAAAGTGTATATTGTGTATATTGTGTAATTTAAAACAATATTGTAATATTTCTTCTATATATATGCTTTCTTTTATTTTTGTATATATTTTTTTAAATATTATATATATATATATATTCATGTGTATTTTCTACATCTACTTTCATATTTCTATATCAATTTCTTTTAAAGAACTGATATAAAATTTTTTTGAAGACTTATGTTCTTTTATACTTCTATATCACTTTCTCTTAAAGTATTGATATAGAATTTTTTTAAAAACCTTATATATTTTTTATATTTTTTTCTACATTTACTTTTATATTTCTATATCTAATTTTTTTTAAAGAACTAATATAGAATCTTTTTTTAGAAACTTATGTTCTTTTTATCTATTCTCTACATTTTTATTCTTTTCTAAATGATATATAAAAATATGTTTACACATTTATATGTATTACTTTTATTATATAATAATAATTATATAGTATAAGAATAAGTATATGGTAATTATATAGTAAAAACGCGTTACACACAAAGTGTTTTCTGTTGACGTAATATATTTGAAAACAAAGCGTTCATGTTTGAAACAAAAATTGTAGAGTTTTTGCAACAACGTTGCACAAGATATGTATCATATTACATATAAGATACAACGCGATGTGTGCAACGTGCTAACTAGTAAATAACGTTAAATGACATTTCGCGTTTATAAGACATAATAAAAACATATTTGATATATAATCTTGCTACTTAAGATGCAATACAACATTACCGTAACATTTTAATATTATATAGAAATGTAATATATTGATACTAGTATTGTAATATTGTATTATAATATTTAATATATATTCAGTAATATATATATATATATATTACTGAAATATTGAAATTTTTCTGCGATATTTGCGTAATATTACGTGCTATGTGTACGATGACCATACTCCTATATTTAAGAGGACAATCCTTTATTTTGGTGCTCTGTCCTTTAAATTTATTTTGTTTCTAAAATAGTCATTTTGTCCTTTATTTTATAAAATGTTCTTTATTTTACAAATAAAACTTGTCAACATAAATAGATTAAAATNTTTTAATATTTTACAGATAAATACGTAACTTAAAAACATTTGAAAAGGCATTAAATTTTGCTTCTGTCTTCTTAGATCTAACGCTTCTGAATCTAACTAAACGAGTATTTTTATTAGTATATATGTACCAGTGAAAATATTCACTTAAAAATCACAATATTAGAAACATGTATTTTTTTATCAAATTCAACTCTGACATAAACTGTATACAGTTTTATAAATTTTTAACACAAACCTGATTTATTAAGAAAATCAAAAGTTAAATTTCGTGAAAAGTATCAAACTTACATTTTTTTAGATGGTCGTCGTAGCTATGTGAAAAATAATTTTACTATTTCTTTTTACATTTCTAAGTATCACGTTACAAATATTACATAACATAGATTAATCGACGTTCATAAAGGTCTTTGTTTTCCACTAAAAATATCACAATTAATAGTAGTAAATTTATTTTCAAAAATACATAAACACGATATTGCTATATAAATATACATTTATACACACTACGTGCACAAAAGATATAAAGTATGCCCACACCTAACTTTGGTTTTACTTTTTAAAACATTCCTACAATATACAAAAGTGTTTCTTAGTCTTACACTTAAATATGTACTAGTAAAAATAAAACTGACTGTTTTGTGCACCACAAAAAAATAAAATATTATCAAAACATAATCGAGATTTTTATTTACCTATTTTTTTCCACAAATGTTTTTACTGAACGATCCGATGATTCCGAAACTTATGCGAGATCATTATACGCAGAGTCTATTTCATATATAGTTTCGTCTAGTATTTCTCTGATTACTTTCATATCTCTTATTACTGCTTTATCAACCAATAAAAACAGATTTAATTTGCCTTTGTAAGTAATTAGACTTAAAGACAACCCGGTTGTATTTCTAAAAATATAAATTGTAATATATGTGTATATATATACATGTACATATACCTTATATATTATATATAAAAATGGTTTTAATATCTCTGGAATAGTTCTAACTTTTTTTTACACGTAAGTTAAGATAAAAGATAATAATGATATACTATACTTGTTCGGTATCCAAAACATCATGTTGCTTAAAGGATGATTCTTTATAGAAAGTTTTCTTTGTATTCCTTTTATATTGCTAAGTGCCATTGTAGGAATGTGAGTTGCAATAATAAGTTTTAGAATTTCCACCGGCAAAATTCCAAGTAAATCTTTTAAAATATAATTGAACGGTGCTTCTAAGCTACTTCTAATTTTGTTATTTATTATTGTAGTTCTCTGAAGACGTTCAAAGAACCGAAAGTTTGTAGGTGATGTTAAAATTTCTCTATCCGCGTTGACAAAACAACTTTCAACTATATTAAACGAAACATCATTGGTCAGTACTAGGTTGTCCTTAGGCATAGAGATTCTTCTTAGTATAAGGACTGATATTGCGTTGGGTATTAATTCCTTAATCTGCAACAAAGATATACACTTTATTTTATACTTGTACGTATAAAGAAATTTTTTACATATAAAAACTTCATTTTGGACACTTAGTATTGATTATACTTACGCGTAAATAATATTTAATCATCCCAGCAGCAAAAGCTGTTAGAATTATGTCAGTAACTTTTGCTCCTGTACACTGTCTTATTTTTTTAATTTTTGTCAGAAGTTGCGATTTATTGGTATCGTTTTCCAAACGATAAACTGTAAGTTTTTCACCTGTTAACGTCCGACCATGCAAAGAGCTACAAGATTAACTCATTATGTTATAAAACATAAACTATTTTATNTAAATATCACAATAAACGATTTGATAAGTATCAGTTTTATGAAGTTAGTATTTACATATGTAAAAATTGGTATTTAAACATTACATATTTTGCATATTGAAAACCTTTATATAATTCTATTTAAAAATATGTTATTTTAGTTAAGTGTTTTAAGATATTTAAATATTGACGTATTTAAATACTGACCTTTTGTCATCCTTATTACGAACAATTTGAGAGACAAAGATTTCTAGAGAAAACAATATAAGTATTACTTTTATCATGATTTCTTTAATTGTGTTATATACTTCTTTCAAGTTTAAAATAATTTTTCGTTTTGGCATAGTTTCTTTCTCCTTAAAATAGTTTTCTTTAGCTGTCAAAACGCTGTTCTTGGGTTCTTCCAATATTGTCGACACTTCATTTGTGATATTCTCGTCGACAAACACATTAAGCAACTTGAATAAAGCTGTACCATCACCAAGAGAATGATGAACACGAAATACTACAGGAACTTCGTCTACATTGGTATTAAAACTGTCTTGAGAAGACAAGCTCGGATCGTCTTCAATGTAAGATTTGACGTTTGGACAACGTCTGCCAATGAGCATTTCCCACATCGGTTTGTGATCATCATACAACGGTCTGTTGCATATAAAACCTAGATTTTCTTGAAAGGTTGTACTGTGAACATTCTCGCAAGATCCATCGCAATTACTGATTTTACACTCCAACCATCTAATTGCGGTCTCTGGATTAAATTTTGATTTCTCCCAATAAAAGTAACCAAACTTTTGATATCTATAGTAAAACAGTTTTTCGATACTCTTGGAGGCAGTCTTAAATACGTGATTAAATAAGTTTCTCATATCCTTCAAGAAAGTCATATTTGTACTTCCTGCGGTTTTCTTCATTATTAATACGATAGTAATCACGGATAAAGATGTATCTTCGACGGACCAAAAAGCATCCGACCCTTCCAACATACCGGCAAATTTGTCTTTAAGTTGAATTCTTAGCACAGTTTCCACCCAACAACGGTAAATATATGAAACCATCAAAATCGTGATAAGAAACGGAGCAAGCAATAAAAAACAAACAAGTCCTAAGAATTTTCGAATTACTATTTGACATGTTTCACTTAATATTTTAGATTGCATCTCGTTTTCGGTGTAAAAGTGTCGGTTAAATTGAAGACTGCTGCAACTTGGATATATTTTACTATTGTAATATTAAATTATTTTACTATGTGTGTAAGAATGATTTTTTCTTTCTATAAGAGATCTCCAAATATTGCAGGTAGAAAAAAGCTGCAGTTCACGACCCTGAAAATAAGTTTTTTATGTTTATTTCTTATAATAGTTCTTTAAATAATGTAAACAATTATTTAAAAATAAGAGGTTTATGGTTATTGATGTTTTTCAAGATAAATATATCAATTGTACTTTCTTTGTATTATTTTTGCTATTTTTATTTTCTGTTGCAAAGATAATACAAAAAACCTGGAAAATAGTGTAAGTATTTATATTCTTTCTCGACGACCTATAAATGTTAATAAAATGGATTCTATAAATCTAAAAAAGTTATGAGTTTTCTACACAAAAATTTATCTTTCTCTTTACTTAGCAATTTATTTAATGTTGAAATTGTTGATGTAACGCAAAAAGTATCAATATTTTGTTTAAAATATAATACACTAGGCAAACATATACAAGTGCGTGTGGGATTATTGTGCGTATCTGGTTTATCTTGTTGAAATAGATAATGGATGCTTTCCATTTCATTTATATGCGTACAGTTATCTATAGTACATGGTACGTGTATACCATAAATCATGCGCGCGCGTCCATGAAACTAGATGTGTCTACTAACTGTGGAACCGCTTCAATCGTTTTCCACATAATCTGTATGTTTGTATTATATTCTTGTTTCTCTCTTACAAAATCACTCTTATCATAAAAATTCTATTTTGATCTCTTACACTATCGACAAGATCTAAGATCAACATGTGACTATAATGATAGTTTTTAAGTTTTGATTTTTTTTTCAATAAACGCAATAGTGTATCAAGTGTTGTACATTCATCAAGTTTCAAACTCTTTCTTTAACTCTATTCAGTTCTTGCTCGCTTTTTAATTAAATGCCCGGTAAACAATTTTTGATATATATCTTGATAGCCGAATGATATCAGTATGCCAGCAGTATGCAGGCAGGTGTAGTTAGCATTTTGTAGGAGATTCCGCTCAGCTGTGTTATTATAATCAGTGAATTATGTAGGCACGATATGTAAAGAGAACAACAAAGCTAAAATATAGAAACAAATAAAGAATGAAATAACAATAGCACGTTATGCTTCAAATCTGCTACATTTTTTTAAGCAAGTTCTGCTTGATTGATGCAATATTTGTATCACGGCATCTTTTACGAAAAAGAATTACTGGCAGTAGTACATTACGGCAATGGTACAAAAGAATTACTAACATTTTGCTTGCCATTAATATTCTCAATGATTCTTGTAATACCTAATAATATTCTTGTGTGATATCAGTAATATTTATAGTACTGATTTTATTTATATTTAATTGGCAGTAGTTTTTTTTTGTAAGGCATGACACATTCAGTCTGTCACACAAGAACATCGGTTGCATATTAAAAAAAAATTATTATTTTTAAAACAGTTAAAGATTGATTTAAAGTGCAGTAAAAAGACTATTACGCATTTACTTAATAAGTCGTTTACTCTCCATTATTGTCGAGAATTCGCTGACACCGTTTTGATATACTTTCTCCAAGATTTTCTGCATATTGTTGCGGTAATGGAATCTGCTGCATGAATAAGTGGAATCTGCTGCAAAGTGCTGATTAAATCAACGTGCATACTGCTGGTATACTGCTATCACTTGGGTATCGGGGAATATTACTTATACACAAATTAAAATTATTATATTTAAGTATGCACATTTATCCATACAATTATGTCCATACAATTTTATTGAGAATTACATGGAGAATTTCTTTTTTTAAAAGAATGGCTTCAAAGATATTCCATATCAAATTACAAAATAACTTTATTAGTATGTTAGATACAAAAAAATTATATAAAACTATAGTTTTTGTTTTTCAAAGATCACTTCAAAATCACAATATGACGGTATGTCGATCACATTGTGTGATTTTGAAGTGATCTTTATATAAAATATAAAGATATAATATTTTTATATAATAATTTTCATTTGCGTATAAGTTTATATGATTATATATATATCAAAAATATTTTACCGGGTGGCTTTACAGAATAGTATTACTAAGGCATCAGTGATTAATTATTGTCGCTTAATACTTTAATTATTAAATCACAGAAATTTTTAGTAATTTCACTAGTACTGTGTCAATAATTTTTAGTAGGTAGTAATTGTATGTGTGCTTGATTTGTGATCCAATAAGTGAGCCGTGTAATAAATTACTACAGAATCACTGAGAGACCTTCTAATGAATTATTTGCTGAGTGATGAAACTATGCGATCCATTACTTAAACTCAATGATACATCACTGACTCAGTAACGTGGCTGCAGGATAAATTACTACACAAGTACTGGAGCTTTATAATGAATCACTGACTCAATGATTTAGCTGTGACAAAACTTACTGGTACATTTACAATACTAAGAGAAATATTTTTATTCATTGTTGCAGGTATATTGCAATATTTTTAATAAAATAATAATTTAAATAATTAAAATGAGATGTGTAAGATAGCTTGAGAAGAAGTAGATAAAAATAACTACAATTTATTAATAAAAAAAATTAGTAAGAAACAACTCTTACGAAAAAGAACTACTGCCGATTACATATAAATAATGTCAATAATATAAATATTACTGACAATTACATAAGGATATCATCAGATATTACAAGAATCACTGAGAATATTACTGGCAATTACACAGAATGCCAGTAATTGTTCGTACCACTGCCGCAATATATTACTGCCAGTAGTTTTTTTCGTAAGGGAAGTGATCTCGCGGACTGACATTGAGTGAGGCGGCTGTGAATATGAAGGTCTCAAGGTCAAATCCCACTATAATTTTTAAGATTTTTCAGATCTGTTCCTTTTCAACAAAGTTCATCAATCAGCGAAACGAATCGGGCCTCCAAAGATTAATTTGAATAAAATCTCGAAGTAATTCCTCTTCCAAAAGACGGTGTGCCATTTGTTTTCTTTTAGTAAGAAATTCCCCACTTGGATTCTAGATAAAATCTTTTTTTAAATTTTAAATTGCAAAGCGTTACACTTCCAATTAGAATCGATATAGAATTTTTACGACGAATCCAGTATATTTTGGAAAAGTTTAACTGATTTCTGAATAAATCCCAAACAAATTTCTATGCGAGCACTAACACTAATGTGTTTAATAATTCACCATCAGTAATAAGTCCTCAGTAATTATCCACTAATTCGCAGTAATTTGCAAATTATCACTGGATGACATGCTATTAATTCATTACTCAATTTAGTTTAGTAAAATTATAAGTAACAAACTTTTATAAGGATGACACATTACCTTATATGAAGAAACTGATTTTACGTGATGTGAATACTAGCTCGATATAAAGAAGACTGTAACAAATTCTTTATATGCAGAGAAGCCGATTATCTTATATGTTTGAAATCATCGGATTATGCAAATTGTTAAGTCTATTAAAACTAGATATTTTTTTATGACGACACAAACCGCGCAATTTGTGTTATGTAATTAGTTTTTTTCTCGGATGTTAAACCGTGACATTTGCATTTTGTTTTATGTAATTATTATTTTTTTCGCATATATACACGTCGTATCGTCATATGACATATGATAGTTTAAATATTTGTCATAATAAAAAGTAACTAGAATTTAATAACTCTTGGACCTTAGTTCACTATTTTTATTCCTGCTATTCTTTAAGTGATCGCCCCGTCCATGATAATTTAGACTCCCGTCTAAGACCAAAAAAGAGACCGACAAGTGAGAAGATGCTAGACGAGCAACCCCGTTGGCTCTCTGTGTCACCAAAACTTCCGCACGACTTGCGTACTTGTCTCTCATATCTCTCTGGGTCAGTGTGCCGGGAATAAACACACAAAGTGTCGTGTGTCAGTTACGTTTCTTCGGGTCAAGAACCCAACAGTTACCATACGCCAGAACGTAATATATAAAGTATAAAGCTAGACTGAAATAATCTCTACTCCTCTCTAAAATTTCAATTTTGTCGGATACTTGTTATTAGTACGAATGTATCAATATCAAAATATTAGATGTAATAATTGTTTTTACATATGATTTGTCATTTTCAGTTACGAACTCGAGAAGAGTGCTATGATCATCCGTGACTTTTAAATGCACTGTATAGAATAATTCTGCTGGGAGAAAATTTAAAGATAGTACAGACTCGTTCAAATGTAGAGTTTTCGCTTGAATTACACGGACAAAAAAATGATGTTGAATCAGCAGTATTGGTAATTGAAATATATCCTGTTGATGCAACATTAATATTGTTGCACTACTACAGCAGATAGTTGCTTTAAGAATTTAGACATTAAATTAATCGCACACGCAATTGAATGAACTATTTATTTTTGTGACAGCCCGTGACATCAACTTTAATTGAAGCAACTCCATTTTTTTTTCTGTGTAGAGCAGAACAAATATTTATATTAGCCACTGCATTAAAGCAGGTACACAATGTGAACATACAGTTGTCGGAGCCTCAAAAAATACCAAATGTTTCTGAAAGCGAAAGTAGCGGTAGTTCTGGCAGTACCACTATGTCACTTTCATCAGATAAAGACACATCAGAAAAAAATTTTAATCATAACTGACATGTGCATTTCACGGGACTAGTCAATAAAAAAGAATTTTTATTCCTAGATTAACAGCGTTGTTCTTTAAAATCCTGCGGCGCAGAAACTTGTTTTTCTGCAGTTTCCAACATTTCTGCACAATTATGAAATTATTTTAATAAATTAAACATATAACTATATAAAACATATTAAATATATAAAACATAAATTGTTTTTTATTATAAAATAATAATAAAATAAACGCCACGCGTCTCTCATGGAATGGCAATCACTTAAACTTTGATTCTTTATAATAATAACCCAGCAAACAATTTGGTTGCGAGATGTCGCAGTTTTGTCGCCAACCGCCGGCGAAATTAGTAGACCAAATCCATATCCATCTGTGTCCTCATTAGGATATGGTTTGGCGACCATATCTGTCAAACATGTGAGATGTCAAAA